ATAAGAAAAGTTCGGGGTATTTCAGACACACGCACTGATTAGTTGCCTCAGTAGAAGAGGAGGGATATGGACAATGACGTCATAGTGCCACTTAACAGAGACGATGACGTCGTAATTGTACGAAGTGAATCCAGAGAGTGTATTGTTAGGGGCACGTTGCTGGGCCGCCATGACACTTGACAGGCAAAAGTTATTTCCTGTCAGAGAGAGCATTGCTAGGCATGATATCATAGCTAGAGTGTTACTCAACAGAGAGCATGTTGCCAGGCCACAAACTGGCACCAGAGGGGGCTATGGTATGATGATCACGCAGAGAGATCAAAATGACATTAATTTTATACTAACAATCAAAGTCTCAAAATTAATAATTTAATCTATTTTGTATGATGTTGTGTTTACAGTTTCCTTTATAAGTAAAACATTAGATTTGCTATTTTAATCTTATCAACTTTATAGCTTGTTCTTACATATTACATACATTTTACAAAGGCAGACAGCGTTAGTAAGAATTGTGTTTGAATAGGTGGATAGATCAATAAGATGATGAGATCATCATACAGTGTCTCAACATGTCATCAACGTCTATATTTTATAAGTAAAATTATTATTTTCCTATTGACTATAAACAGACGTTGTTACCAAGGTTCAGTAGTCAGACAATAATGCTAAGGTTCCATAGGTGGATTGTGTTACTAAAGATAATGTTTGAAAAGGCGTATTGTGCTACTAAGATTCTATAGGCAGATGGTTTTACAGTGTGTTTTACTAAGGTGAATTGTGTTACTAAAGATAATGTTTGAAGAGGCGTATTGTGCTACTAAGATTTTATAGGCAGATGGTTTTACAGTGTGTTTTACTAAGGTGGATTGTGTTACTAAAGATAATGTTTGAAGAGGCGTATTGTGCTACTAAGATTTTATAGGCAGATGGTTTTACAGTGTGTTTTACTAAGGTGGATAGTGTTACAATACATATTACTGAAACATTTCAGCTGATGGCAAGTTGAGAAACTTGACCCTTTGTGTAAAACCAAGTGAAGCATTCTCCTAAGACTAAAACAAGTAATGATTTCGTTTCTACAAAACTGACAGACAAACAAGAAGTTCTATTTCCGTATCTTTCAAAACTTCACTTTAAGTACACTCTAGCATTCAAACTTATTAATTGACCTAAGCATCAGATACGTTTTTTTACAAATGAACATAGTTTATAACCGAAAAAGAGTTGAGCTTTATCTATAAATCAAGTGATTATTCCTTCATGTTTGATAAATCCAACATATTTACTTTCGTCATTACAACAACAATGTTAAATCTCAAACTTAACAAGCACACTGAAACATTTATAAACAAAATTTTAAGTACACTAATGTACTATTTACATAAACATTTTAGTTTACAAAATACTAGATTAAATCAACAACGTTTGTGCATTATATCTATATTACTACTTGTTCGTTTCAGTTCTGTATGTTATATATAGTTTATAAACGAAGAAGTTAGTACACAATTCTTGTATTTCACCGAGTTCATCGTACTTTACAACAAAAAGCATTATATGCTCACTACTCAGTAAAATTAACTTGTGCTCAATAGACAGCAGTCGGTCAAAAGTTCAAACAGGGTCAGTCTACAGATATTCGGAAAATACAGCTTAGAATATCTTTTAAAATGTAAGATAGTTTGATTATTATTGATTCGGTACTACTGGTTACAATCTTACAGACACGTGAAATGTATGAGATTTATGATTTCCTTATACAATACAACGAATTATATTTGTATGTACTCGAATGGTAGCAGAGTGTTTTCAAATGCTGTACGACAATAGGACAGGTTCATTTTCAAGTTGTGGTCATTGACACTCAGTCGTCTTATGTTGATAATTCAGTCTGTTCAGACGAAAGATCAAACGTCAGATAATTATGTGCCTAGCTTAGTCTTTTATGATAAATTACACCCCAATTAATATTAGTATCTAATAACTGGATGGAAGTTGTGACGCATGAGTCAGGATTTACTATTATTTCATCAAATACCTGGACCCCACGATATCGGAATGACGCAAAATTCTGGAGACAGCTAGCCAATGTGTATCGCGAGAAGGAGGGGCATGTATTAAAGAATCCATAATTAGAGTTAGAATGTATAAATTAAGATAGACTTATTAATGAACATTCTTCAAATTTCCCGAAGTATGTAGACACTATTAGATGTGTGATCGTTTCTAGAAAAGCAGATCGTGATATATAACAACAGTCAATTCAGGACTGTGGTCGCAACAGGGAAGCAATGGCTGCGTTTGTGAGAAGCGTCTACTTCTTATCAAATATAGAAATCCCACACACTACGAAGTATAAACATTCAACATATGTAAGTAAAGCTACAGCTTGTGATCTGTTGACCTCATTGTCCGAAGTTCTAGGTGATTGTGACACATCGGACTTGAATAACAAATATTACTGTATAATGACTGACGAATCGTCAGATATCAACAATATGAGTCAGTTGTTAATTTTAATTCAATATATGACTGACTGCGATGAAGTAAAAAAAAAAATTCATAAGCATTACTGATCTAGCAAACACTGATTCCGAAACTATTATTAGTTCACTTGACAGAAAGCTGGTGAAAAGGAACCTGGATTACAAGATAATAATTTCTTGCACTCTCGATGGCGGCACCAATTTTTCAGGAAAATTAGTGGTGTGTGTAAGTGACTTTCAGAGAAACCAGGAAGGTTTGTTTTGTAATTAAGCACAAAGCTACACAATGGGCTATCTGTGCTTTGCCCACCACGGGTATCGAAACCCGGATTCTAGTGTTGTAAGTCCGCAGACATACCGCTGTGCCACTGGGTGACAACCAGGAAAGGAAATTCGTTAAGTACTTTGTAGGGCCCATCATTTATATTTAGCTTTAACCAGAGCTAAAAATAAAATCGTGTCTGTGAAGAGGGTTCTTCATGTCATCAAAGACGTTTATTCAATATTCCACAAGTCATCAAAGTGTGAACGCGTGTTGCACGAGGTTCAGAGGTTAATGGAAGAACCTGAACTAACATTTCCAGAATCAGTCGAAGTGCGCTGGTTCAGTATTTACAAATCTGTTCACGTCGTCTTAACTTGTTACTACTAAATTATGATGGCCTGTGAGCACCTACATAAAGATGGTGCAGATTTGGCATCGTCAGCAGGAGGTATCTTGTTGGAAATGGAGAAATATAGTTTTATTACTAACCTCAGTAGTTTTAGATGAGGCTTTGTGTGCAATATATAATTTCAGCAAAGTTTTGCAAAAAGATAACCTAAACTTGTCATCACCTCTTCAACTTCTGGCGTCAAAGCTAGCACATTTGAGAAACATAGGGACTCGGTGTACCTATTTAAGTAAAGAAAACTCTATTGCTATAGCTGTCGTAGATCTCAAAACGAAGGCCTCTGAGTTAAACTTTCAAAAACGTTAAAGCATTCGTTAGCATTATGATTGAACAAGTGTAGCACCTATCCAACGATCAAGTGGTCTCCATCATCATTGTATGTGCTTCCTTCCAAACGGTCAAGTCAATGTGTGATTTGACATATGATGATGATGTGAAGATAGGATGTGTCTTTTTTTATGGGTTCGATTATGATCCCTAGTGGATTGACTTGAGTTCTTTTAAGTACGTTGCAAGGGAACAAGAAGATCCAGATAAAAATGTTGTGCATTACTTGTGGAAAACAAACAACGGTTACGACAATCTTAAAAAATTAACTGAATGCCTGATGGTGGTGCCGGTTTCGACTGCTGGAGTTGAGCGTTCTTTCAGCGGCATGAACCGTACTTCAAATAAGCCGAGAAACCGGATGGGACAAGACACGCTTCAAAGGTGCATGAAGATTAGCATCGAGGGGCCTAATGTATTTTAAAACACCTCGTTGTCAAGGGGTATCGACTTATATACGCGGGACAAAACAAGACACGTTTGTTTTCTCTAAGAGTAGTTACAGTGAACCGCAAGAGGGTGTTTTTTCTTGTTTTTGTTTGTAAATTCATAAATATTACCTTTAAATATCATAATCAATACTAATAAAACATATCATTATAAATTTATGGAGACAAGTATTTTAATTAAAGTAAAATATTTTCTGTTTTGTCGAATTTTAATCTCAATTCATTGCACCAACTTCACATCTCCCCCCCCCCCCGGTGGAAAGATCTGGATTCAACACTGGCTAAATTATGCAGTAAACATATTTTGGATGGCATTTCCAATAAGCTCAAATACTCAGGAGGGATTTTTTTATAGTTGTTTTAATAACGCAAAGCTACAAAATGGATTATCTATCCACTGGGAGGGAAAGATCGAACCCCGGACTAAACGAACCCCGGGGAATGGAACCATTACCACCGTAATTACAAAAATCATTTTGAAATGTCACACACTTCACTGTGTTAACTTTGTTTTAAAACCTTTTTTCACCAATGTTACAGCATATTTGAAAGACTTGTTATTTAAAGGATTTACTACATTTTATATGGTTGCGCTATTCATTGTTTTGTTTATAATATAATCTGTAGTCGGTTAGATAAACAGATAATCCACGAGTTTCTATAGCTAGTAGTGATTATGTAAAAAATAAAGTACAAATAATTCTGTTACAAATGTATGATTAGACATGTGAAACTCCCAAAGAATGTTTTTGATGAAATGTTGTAAATAGTTCAAGTTATTTTTTGCTTTTTGGGAATAAATTGCATGAATTAAGGCTTTTTTTTTTAGATATTAAAAAGAGCAAGAATAAAAGAGAGTCATTTTTTTTTTCTCGTGAATTATGTTGTTGGAAGTATTTTTGTTTTCTTCCCATCTTTTTTGACTTTTATTTACGACAACATTACCAAAGGACTTCTCTGTTTTTGTTGTGTTCCTTTCTCGAAAATCAATTTTCGTTTTTCTACCAAAAAAATGTATTAAAAAACAACGATGTATTAATTAGTTAAAAAAAAACAACTCAAAATGACCTTAATGTTCTAGACTTTATTAAGCATCCTCTTGTTTTAAAAACACTGAAAATACTGAAAGCCTTTATTACATTCAAGATACAGCAACACACAAATTCAAAAATAACAAAACAGACTCGTAATTAGTGAAGAAATGAGTAAACTATTACCAGCAAAGAAGAACGAATTTGCTCTTTGATAGACTCATTAATAAAATAATTTTCCTTCTTCTGTGGATATTTTAACATTAAAGATTCGAATGGACGATGATCGTAGTTTAGGAAAGAACTCCCGCTTATTGTAATAACTAACCTATAGACTTTCTGACCTCAGTTTGTCAGAATGCCCTAGTTGAGTCTCATTTGATTAATTGATTAAACATAATCAAGCGAATAACCATAGTTATAGCTTGCTTTGTAAGTAAACTAGCACCAAGTTGAATAGAAATAAGGAGGGATGAGTAAAACTAACACAACAAATTCTTGACCTATCGAAACGTTGCAAATAAAAATCGTCCAAAGTTGACTTATAAATCGAACATTAAATCATCTAATCAGCTACATATTTGTTAAACATAAAACAAGTAGATTGAAAACGTATATCAACTGACTAGCTATATATATATATTTACAGCAAAAAATAGTCGTAAAGTAAAATTATTTTCGACAAAACCACGACATTAACCATTCCTGTAAATATTTGCACATTGAAAAGTTAATATAAGTAAAACAGCCAGCAACATATCTTCCATATTTCCTTTGCAGTTCGAATGACTTGGTAATTGTATTTTATGTATTTAAAAAATTCGTTTCATGAAAAAAAAAATCTTAAAAGAGATAGTTGCCCACACTAGTTAACATTTGTGTCAGACGAGGATATGAATTTAGGGTTGTCAAAAGTCGAAGGGCTAATCATCTGATTCTATATCATTTAATGGTCTCAATTTAAGCCCTTAAACAATTCATATTTTGTCCTATTGATTATTTTAAAGCAAAGCTTGAAAACTGTTTAACATTAGGCTTTTTAAAAGCCGTGCTCTTTATTAGTTTTAGAGCATACATTACGTTTATGTTTTTTTTTTTTTAATGAAAGAATGTTCAAACCAGATCTAATTTCAAAAGAAAACAATTTCACTTCTGCACATCGTCAAGCGGAAGAAGGTAATATTCATACTTCTAAAAACTGCATTATTTCAGGATACTCCTTGCAATACTAAATCTGTCAGAAACAGTACCAACTAACCACGACACTGTTCATTAGATGCTAAACTAGACTCTTGCTAAGCAGGCGCTTTTAAATCTTTCTTCTTTATGAAACAGCAGTTATAAGCACAACCAAGAATGATGATGTTGTGTGTTAACCATGACTGCCGATAGTTTCATTCAGTTGTTCTCTAGAACGATTTAGGATAGTGAAATTTTAAACAGATGTTTTATAAAATATTTTACCTTCCATTTATTCCGTTTACTACAACAGCTTCGAATATTTAAAGATAATATATCAATTGTAATTATATTCGTCTTGTACTCTCAATAAAACATTAAACTCTATTTCAGTAATTGAGGAATTTCTAAAGCAGAAAATCTGTTTCATGATACATCTACATATATTCATCTGAAAATGACACACTATGATAAATTACTGGGCCGTTTGTAGAACTACTTTTATCAGGGTAATGTTACAAATTTATTGCTAGAAAAAACTTAATTTTATGATGGAGCGCAACGGCAAACTTTATAGACATTCTGTTTCTGAGGCTCCGATTTATCAAAATTACACGTTATCGTAAGAATTGTTGAGGTCACAATTCCAAGGTAGCAAGATGATGGCACTGGAAATCTCAGTAGAACTTCTACAAAACTGTCAGATCAGAATTGCCGCATAAATATCCTGTAATATCATAATGTAGAATACGTTTTATTTAGTCTTTTTTTCTAATCAGAACGTACAGCATGGTTTAAAACCATAGCCATAATACTATTACAATTTATAAGGTAATCAGATATTGTCAAAAGTCACACCCAAATCAATAACACTAGGAAGTTATCACAAAGAAAGTTTTCTATAATTACGTATTATTTAGCCTTTCTTTCTTAGTTGATGAATTAACACACAAAACAACTCAACATTAATTACTCTTTCTCTCATAGTTTCATGAATTAAGCTACATGACTAATTAATATTGTTTATCATTTCTTTGGTAGTTCAAAAATTAATTCAGAAACAGTAATTGTTTTCATAAACTAAGATAAAAAAAACAAAACAATCAACTTATTACTTTTAATTTTAGCTGATTAATTAAAAAATGTCCATTCTCAAGTATAATGATTAAATTAATTAACTATTTTATTAGCAAGATACTCATATCCTGATTGAAAGAACATTCTCCGTAGGGAAAGATGTACCATGAATTTTGTCCATTTTCAAAATAGGATGTTTCCGTGATTAATCCTATCATTAAGAATCGGATAAAGCATGCACATTTTGACTACTATGAAATAAATATTTTTTCCACAGATGTACTTAAAGTCATTGTTGGAAAGGTGGCCTAATTCTGGTTGTTAAGAGCTCCATTATTGTATTACAAATCCAACAGAATAAGTTAGCGATGGACTGCTAACTCTGTAGACAAAAATAGAGCACAATTCTGTCAACAATGACGTAACTTGTATTTTTATATCAGTAACTACAAGGCTAATGTTATGTTCATTTCACAAGACGTTACAAGTATAGGTATTAAACCTAGAATTAATTATGGAACCCCATAGGTTGTGAAACATATTTTTTCTAAACTATTCATGTACTAGACTGCATGACTTTGTGGGGTCCATGGAGCCGAGTAACATATGATATACACAAAAATAATGTAAAACAATCTCATAAATAATGCAGTTAATCTTGGTAAAGTCATCTTTGTATTTTGTATAAAAATTAATGTTTTCCCATGTTGTTTCTGGTCAGTTCTTTACACCGATTGTTTTAACAGATAAAAATATAAATTATTCAAAATATGTGGACCCTACCGGTAGTGAACTACGAAAACAAGCCGATAATTTTAAAGTACAGTCTTTCTCCTTAAATAGGACTTCTAATTTTTTTATTTCGTAGTACAAAGATATGTTTGTTAGATTAAATCATTAACTTACATTAATTTCTTTGAATGAACTAATTCTGAATTTCTTTGAAAACTGTAAAATGTTTCCGCTTCAATTCAACACATGGTATAAGTTTAGGCATAACATATCTGTACTTTTTCTTTTACAATTATTACAAATTGCAATAAATTTGATAGTTATTATTTGTCTATAGATTGCGGCGAGACTCATCTCAAACATAATTCTTTTTAAGGTTTTATATAACGTAGTTTATAACCATATTAAGAACACCATTATACAAATGACACACGGCCAGATACGATGCTAGATTTTGCCTATCAAAATAAAATATATGAACACATTTATCAATTCTAAAATTGTAAAAGAAAAGTTATCTGTTGTACGTTCGTTTGACTTATCGGTCGACTCAGATATTCTCTGAAATGAGAAACCACACGACATTCCCTAATGCATGTGAATTTCCGTTTGACAAGTGGCGTTCAAAGCAAGAAACGTAACACTAAACTGTTCTGGAGACTGTTTTCGATTTCGGGACTCTGGTCGATGGCGCGTTCAATCGCTTATCTTACGAGTAACTCGAGATTTATTTTTATTATTTCAACTCAATCATATTACAGCAGACATTCAAGCCTTAGCATACTTTGTTATATCTCTGGCTTATAACAAAAACACCTATTTGTCAGAAAAATGAATATCTTTTCATCTCCAAATGATCCTAGGCCTTTCCGCCACATTAAACCAGAATCCGATCATACAATAGCATAAAACACAATTCACACGTACACACAAACGTAATATAAAAAACACAGCTAACCGATAAAATGAGAACTTGTTAGTTCCAAAACATTCCGTTAAATAACTGCTTTGTTATTGAAAAGCAGCACATTAAAGATAAGTAACCAGTTATACCAAAGTTAAAACCCAAAGTAAGAGAACGTAAAATAACAATATCTCCCTAACTTACACTTTCTACTAAAATTCCAATCAAAATTGATTAAAATCTCAAGACGTCACACGACAGGACAGTCAAGCCACAATGAGGAAATGGTGAAAGTTCCTAATGACACCGTCTATCATATTTAACATCTATGTTTATTTTAATTGAAAACTGGTCATGGAAGAGGTTTGGTTAGTAGTATATTACTGGAATTTGGAAGGCAAATTCTAATTTTCTTTTTATAATAGTAATATTTATTTGATTAGACATCCTAGGTTTCATTATGCTTTCGTTCAGATATATGGTCATTACTGGGGTCGGAATGAAACTTTCAAAAGAAAGTTTTAATTATTAACTCAACAGTTTGTTTCTAGTAATCTGTTTTTTTTATTTGTTGTCTTTTCTCTGTTTCTTCTGTTTCATTTGGCGCAAGTGATTTTCTGCGACTGATTACACACAGGAAACGATAGTTTTAAATGTGGGCTTAAACATTCATATCTGCTGTAATTTTGATGTCACCTGTGAAACTTACAAGGATAATGTAAATATGGTAATTGATGTATCCCAAACACTGCGTGGACCCTCTTTTGGCAGATACCTCATTTACTAGGGTACACTTTACTATTTCCATCTAGTTTCTTGATTTTCTTTTGTCTGTCATATATATAAAGAAAACTAATGTACTGGAAAAAGCTGACAGCAGAGAAATTAAGCATACTTTTTGATTGAGGGTTTCTAAGAAGAACCACCTCTCATACCACATAAATTTAGACATCATATTAACACTTCATTGTCGAAGGATGAGCAAAATATTCGTCTACGTCTAGAAGTAGAAACTGTCAGAATTGAAATAGAAGTTCTACAGTTAAGAGCAGAGTACCAGTTTGTTAAATATACTAAAGTGGATTCTTCAGTGACAAAATTTCTAAGACATTTAACGAACAATGGCCATGTATATGAATCCATAATATAGTACAGAAGGAATCTTTGTACAGAAGAGGAAAACGTTAGTGAGAAGATTTGGGAGAAAAAAAGATGTTTGGTTTCGTTAACAAATGGATTTAGATAGGCAAAATCGAAAAAGAGGAAGAGTGCATGATTTCAAACAAGCAGAAAAGTCAAAGGAATTTGGAGAAGAAAATATGAGAAATAAAATCAATAAAAACCTAAGAAGATATGAGAAGAAAGACGTTTTAGCTTCTTTAAAATACGACGATGATGAAAGAAGAGGGGAACTTAATATAAGAAGAGACAATAGATACAGAAGAAAAAGACATGAAACAATAGGAACTTAATGAATAAAAGTAAAATATATATATAATAATAGAAGAGAAGATAAAGAAAGAAATACACATATTTTACCCAGTAGAGGCCTTGAAAATATTGCCTTTTAGTTCAAAATATTTGTCAGGAGAGGAAATTAAACTTTTAAAGAGAATAATTACTATTACCCCAAATAATAAACCAAATAAAGAAACCAAATGAACTTAAAATTAAAGAAGAATTTATTAGGAAATTAAGATTACCAGAATTTTTTTAAATAATGATGATAATGATGGATCCTTGAAATAAATAAAACCTAATTTTGTACCTTCAAAAGGAAGGAATCTAGAACTTGATATAATTTGTAGTCGTATAAAAATATGTGCTGTAAGATTCTTGTGGTTAAAGACAATATTTCAATAAAAGAAAGAAATGCATTAAAAAAAACATAAAAATATGGAAGAGGTTTCATCCAAAAAAAGTGATAAAGATAAAGTTATTATGGATCAAGAGTATTATGGTATGTTGTAAAACATTTAAATGACAAAGAAACTTATAAATATATGTCCTACATAGATATTCCAAAATTTGTAAATAAAGTAACAGAAGAAATTAAAAAATATACAAAAGAATTTAAATATATATATATATACTAAGAAAGAATACAATTATTTGTTGAGTAATCATAAACTAGGAACATTTTACGTATTACCTAAAATTCATAAGCTAAAAAAAAATGTTTGAGGAATACAAAGTGGAATATCTTTGGATAAAGAGTACTCCAAAAATTTCTGGAAGATCAATTATAGGTGGAAAAACAAAGTGACTGAGGTTGTGAACATTATTTTAAAACCATTTACATCTAAACTACAAAGTTATATAAAATATTATATTGATTTTATTAGTAACTTACCAGAGAAAATTGAAAAAAAATATTGTTTTAATATCATTAGATGTTGTTTCTCTTT